CCATACAAGCTTTATCCACTTTCTCTTTTTCTTTTCTTTTTTTTTTATACTTTTCACTATTACCGATTACATATTATATTTATTACATGCAAATTCATCAAGTGTCAGTAAATCACACAGCATGCTTGAAAATCAGAACAATTCGACTCATTTGAATACAGGGACATGCAAAACAGGCAAAATAACTATCATATTAAATTTGCTTATCTAAAAATAGTCCTTAAGATATTAAAAGTAATACTAGATTCTTTACCAAAATCTCAATGTTTTCTTCTTCACAGTTTTTCTTTTCTTTCTTTTCTTCTTTCACTAATTTACTATCTCTCTCTCTCTCCCTCTAAACCTTTGAAAAATGGAAGAAATGGGAGTGTGGAGAGGAAAAAAAGGGGGAGAACAATTTATAAAATTTTAGAACTGTTGGATTTGTGCCAAGTGGTAAAATCTGGTAAATAGAGATGAGAAAAAGATTTTTGGCACGAAAAAACGAGGGAGAAAATTTTCCTCTACCGACGGCGGCAGCGACGGAGCACTACTCGAGGTGGTAGAGCCCGATCGGCACACTGTAGGCTTGCCTACAGGCGCACAGGCTTGCTGCCGCGCATAGGACCTCGGCGTACTGGGGGTTGCGTGCGTAGGCCTACTGAGCGCGGGCCCTAGGCGCACAGGGCCTGTGTATGTTGGCTTGCTGTGTGGACAGCGCGCATACAGTGTGCAGTGCCAGTCTGTGTGCAAAGTGATCCACGGACGACCTGCCTGCACGCCATAGTACACGCGCGCAGATGCTGAACCCGCACCGTGCACACTGTACGCACGTCCTGTGCATGCGAAGGGGCATGCGCGTTGTGCACACGTCTCGTGCATGCTGGCAAGCGGATGGGCGTGCACACTGTGCACATGCCCTGTGGCCACTGTGCGTGCATAGTGCTTAGTACCCGCACGAGCAAACCTGTTCTCCCGCAGGATTTTTTCCCGCGAGCCGGTTTCTCTGTCATTTTTCGACCTTTTTCTAAATTTTTTCCTTTTGAAATAAATTAAAATAAAATAATAGTAAAACTAATAAAATAAATAAAATTAAAAATAGATTAAAATTACGAATCTCGAGAATGGTGTAAATTAATTTAAATTTAGGGCTGCCAAAGGCCCGAATAAATAAAATTTTCAAATCATTTTGGCACAATGATGGGCAGGTGTTATAAAAATACAAATTAGAAAATAGATGTATGTTGTATACTTTATCACTATTACAGAGGATCAATCAGTTATCATATATTATGCGTAGGCACAAATACTTATCACTGACTCCCCATGTACCCGAATACGGAACGATATACATGAATACCTTGAAACACTGCTACCCTCCGAATTTGGAATAGTTAGGGCATGCAGATCAGACTGTTTTTTATACTTTTAAACATATAACAGTTATATATGTGTACATACTTATTACTTCACCAATACACCCGAACACAAAACGATTATGTTCAGCCAAATTGAAGTCTAACATAATCCAGGTGCTTTCGGAATAATTTCTTTGTATAATAAGTGGTGCACACATATCTAAAACACAAAGTAAAATAACACTTAGATCGAAGCAAAACTTTAATAAATACTTAGTATATACAGAAGACAAATTAAACACATACACACTTTTATACTAAAAATACATAAAATACTTCAAAATTATGTAGGTTATGAATCCATAATATTCACTTACCTTAGATCCTTAGCAGCCGTAGTCTTAATTCCAGTAGAGTTCCAATTTTATTTATGATTTTTTCCTCTAAAAAATCCAGCAGAGTTTCACGATGATTTCTAGTCACTTTTTTGACTAAAAAAATATCCAACACATACTCAAAAACCAAATCCCCAAAAATAAAAAAAGAAATTTGGTCCTCCAAATTGGACTTACTAGTAGTCATAAATAAATGTGGGTATTTGGCCTTTATTTCCTCTTCTAGCTCCCATATGGCTTCTTCAATCAAATGATGTTGCCATAGTACCTTTACTAAGGAGATTACCTTAGACCATAATATCATTTCTTTACGACCCACTATCTGCACAAGAAGCTCAATGTAGGATAAGTTATCCTGAAGTGCAAGGGGTTCATATCGGAGTACATGCAATGGATCTGGGTGATATTTCTTCAACATCGATACATGAAAGACATTGTGCACGTTGGCTAACTCATGTGACAATGCTAAGCGGTAAGTGATAGCCCTTATTCTATCCAATATCTCAAAAGGTCTAATAAATTGAGGACTGAATTTTTATTTCTTCCATAATCTCATAATCCCTTTAATTGATGATATTTTCAGAAATACATGGTCGTCTACTTCGATTCTAAATCTCTTTTTCGATTATCGGTATAACTTTTCTGCCTATTTTGAGCTGTCAGAATATGTTTCCTGATCAATTTCACCTTTTCTGTAGTTTTTTCCACTAATTTAACTCCAACCAGTTTTCAATCTCCAAATTCTTCCCAATAAATAAGTGATCTGCAGGATCTTCCGTACAAAAACTCATAGGGTGCCATTTGAATGCTGGATTATAGCTCTTGTTATACGCGAACTCAATAAGAGGTAAATGATCATCCCAATCACGTCACAACTCAATGACGCATGCTTATAACATATCTTCTAAAGTTTGGATTGTCCGTTTTGATTGACCATATGTCTGAGGATGGAAAGCTGTACTAATTGATAACTTGGTCCCCATAACATTATGAAGATTGGTCTGAAATCTTGAAGTAAAGTGGAGATCTCGATCAGAGATGATTGCGATTAGTATTCCATGTAATCTCACAATCTCCCTAATATAGGGTTTGGCTAACTTATCCAATGGGTCATTCACTTTGATTGCTAGAAAATGAGTAGATTTCGTTAATCTATCAATGATAACCTAAATAGCATCATGTTGGGATCTTGTTTTAGGCAGACCCACCACGAAATCCATGGTAATATGTTCCCATTTCCATTCTACTATCAGCAAGGGCTGAAGTAGTACTATTAGTCTTTGACGTTCAGCCTTTACATGTTGGCATATCAGACATTTAGAAAAAAACTCTACTATATCCTTTTTTATCCCTCTCTATTGGTATTTGGTCATCAAGTTCTAATATATCTTAGTATTGCCATGGTGCATAACAAATCTAGAGTAGTGCACTTCTTCTAATATCTCATGTTTAAGACTATCATTATTATGCACACATGCTTTGTTTCCAAACCTCAATACATCATCTTCCGATAGTCTAAATTGTGGCCTAAGTCCCTTACTGACATCTTCCATAATCTACTTTGAGGTAAGATCAGACAGTTGAGCTTCTCTAATTTTCTGCATCAAAATAGGTTGCACTTTTATATTGGCTAGGTATCCTCCTAATCTCTTATGTCGGACATTCAGAATTAATTTTTGGAACTCTTTTACAAATCTCCACTTTGAGGCCATTATGCAGGCAAGTGTGCAAGTACTCTTCCTACTAAATGCATCTGCAACCATATTGCCTTTTTCCCATATGGTATAAGATCTTACAATCATAATCCTTCAGTAAATCCATCCATCTTTGTCGGCGTATATTAAGTTTTTTCTGCGAGAACAAATACTTCAAACTCTTATGGTCTGTATGAATCTCGAAACTTTCACCAGGTAGATAATGACACAAAATCTCTAAGGTAAAAACTATGGTGGCTAATTTTAAGTCATGGGTATGATAGTTTTGCTCATGATTCTTTAATTGTCTGGAACCATAAGATATCACTTTTTTGTGTTGCATTAGCTCGCATCCCAACCCTTACTTTGAAGCATCATTGTAGATAGAGAATCCACCAGTACCATTAGAAATAGTCAATATTGGAGCTGTTGTCAACTATTTCTTTAGCTCTTGAAAACTTTATTTACACTTATCTCAAACTTTGTGTCTTTAGTAGTGAGCTGAGTTAGTGGAATAATAATCTTTAAAAAAATTTCAATATATTTCCTATAGTATCCAGCTAGACCGAGGGAACTTCGAACTTAAATTACAGTTGTAGGTCTTTTCCAGTTTACTATTGCATATATTTTAACTGGATCTACTGATATTTTATCCTTTGAAACTATATGTCCGAGGAAGGCAACCTCCTTTAACCAAAACTCACACTTCTTAAACTTGGCATACAACTT